CGTAACCAATTCGCGATAGCACGAGCATGGGTTGCAAGAGGTGTGGGAAATTTGTCGGAGGACGAGAGAGATAGGCTACCTTTTAGAGGCTGTATATTAGTGGAAAATCCTTTAACATTAAGAGCATACCGCGAGAGTAGAATATTTTCTTGAATGTGCATTTCTAAAGTAAACTGATGTCATAAATTATTACTCACTTTAACTGCCATGATACCAAGAAAGCAAAATCGAAAAACATTATTCACGTATATCAAGAAGATATTTAGAGATAGCAATTTTTTTAACATTAACATTGTGCTGAAACAGAATGTATCTATATATTCATAACGTTATAGAAAATATAACTCAAAATATTAGTATTATATATATTTTGTAGTATATTGTAAAATTTCATGTTATATATTACTTGCATATGACATATCCAAATTTCTTTATCAATTTGCAACTTCTTTTTAAATCATTTATTCATAAAAAAATGTACTTACTGTATAATACTGTTGTGTTGCTGACATAAGTTTTTTATCTCTTTTTTTAAGGAAAAGTGTACTCCAAAATTGTTTTCTGAAAAACCGCTGTTATCTTGCTGATTACTGTTTTGAAAAAGTAATACAAGCTTCGAGGCAATGTATTGATATTGCGCAGTTACCAATGATATCAAATGTGTTGTATAAACATCCACACTGACCTTCTTTAAAAAAATGTATATATTGCTGATTGTTGATATTACGCTACCCAACAAGAAAATATTGATAGAGAATGGTTCTTTGGAATAAACGGCTGGTGATTTAAAATCTACATAATAGAAAGTATCCTTTTCAAACACCGACGAAAACGCGAAGCAAAACCAGACGAAAACAGCAAATGTGCCACATACAAAATATAATTTAAATGGAGTCTCCATGGGTTTCAAATTCGTTATTACGATATTCTTTATGTTTTCGTCTTCGATTTTTAAAATTGCATTCATTTTTCGTATAATTTGTTGTAGCAATGTTGTCTGTGTTGTATGTATTCGCATTACTATTAAACCTGATTCTAATACGGTGATGAAAGGAAGTATTCCATCGTTCAATGATTTCTCTTTTGGTACTACAAAGAAGGCAGCCATCAATGTGACTGTGTAAACCAATTCAAATAACCACACGATAGCGCTATATATTTTCCATAATACTGGAAATGACGAATTGTCGGTCATCGGTAACAGATTGCCCGAAAGCAGATTTAACCGAACGTTGAAGAGATTTAGGCTTTGGAAGTCCATTAACTCAGTATTACTTTTTATAACGAGTAGAAATAGTTCTGTAAAGTAAAAGACATAACAATTAAGGTTTTAAATCATCCATTTTATTTCTTTCCCATATACCACATTTTTATTGTGTCCATGCATTATATAAAATTACTATTTACTAATCATGACCGCATAAAGATTTAATTTATATAAATCTTGTTGTATATTATTTTAGTAGCATCTAAAATTGTCAAGAAACCTGATTAACTGCATTTACAATATTAAACTAAAAATTTCTAAGAACCGTAAATGTTATTACACAACAAGTAAGGAATAAACACTTTTAACGGTCAAACTTGATCTTAAGTGCTTGATTCGATGTGAAATTATATACTACATATATAATCCTTTAAACTGAGCGGTAAAGTGGTCTAATGATAATGGTGAGAATGCTTATATGGAATGTAAGAAATTCAAATTTGATCCTCGACCGAGGTAATATTTTTCGCAATAAGATTATATTTTTCCAGATTTTAATATGTTACTCAGCATCACTAAGATTTTTGTGATATCTAATTGTAAGATGTTCCCTGAGCATGAAATTATTAAATTGCTAGTCAATTTAGTTTGTGATGTTACTAATTCAGTCGAGTTTGTGTCTCGAAATCAAAAAATCATTTCAGCGTACAATTTAAAGGATTACATACGTATAAGTATATATTTTACACCGAATTATCTAAGACCGGTATTCATAATCAGGTCTTATATTCAAGACCGTCTTAAGTACAATCTTAAGATGTATTGTTCTTATGAACCAATCAGGCTGTATTAACATCTTACTTAAGATATTACTTAAAACGATCTTAAAATAAGAACTGACTGTGAATACTGGCCTCAGTACTTAAGATCCACCGTGACCGTTAAAAATATTAATTAAATTTAATTAACGATATTACCTTCCAAGTTAAAATATATCAGAATAAGAAAAAAAAGTTTATTAGTACAATTTTCTAATATACTCATCTGTCTTATTCACACAGCATGTAATATTACATTAACATTGCAGTAATATTACAAAATTGCTGTAATATTACATGGTAATATATCAGTAATATTGTATAAATGTTACTGCAATATTATGTGTCCGCGAAAATCCATAGCAGAGATATTTTTACAAATATTATAGTAACATTCTAGTAATATTAACTTTCAAAAAAGTTGTTATTATTCGAGGAGCACACTATTAGCGCTGCTGTCTCTCTCTCTCTCTCTCTCTCTCTCTCTCTCTCTCTCTCTCTCTCTCTCTCTCTCTCTATTTTCTTTATTTAGAATTTAAATAAGGAATAGAAAAATTTGATCTAATGAACGATAAGGAATAATAAAAGAATAATAAGAAATAATAAAAGAAAAGACACAATAGCGCTGATAGTGTGCTTCCCGATTGCAACCCAAGAATATCTCTAACTTAATTTATACACAGAATAACTAAAAATTGCATTGTCAAAAAATTTGAGCCTGTTGCAATATATACCAATACTGAAAAGTATATGTAGTACTTATACATTTTTGTATTGGCAGTATGCTTAATATTCATCACTGAATCCATTTAGGGATTCATTTTAAAAAACCATTTCAGGTAAAATTATCCAAAAATCACAGATAAAAGATCTTATAACCGTGCACCTTTTATTATCCTGTCTAGTACTTACTTAAGAAAAACTATATCCCGCCGCCTCCAACTCGGCGGTACCGCGTACTGGTCGCAGCCATACAAGACACTGTAATATTTGAACAGTATGATAATATTACAGTGAACATATCCCCTTTTCCACATTGTAATATTTGAATAATGTTGCAATAATATTACACTGTAATATACCAGATTGTACAAATATCTCAATAAGATTGCTACAATATTACATTATAATATTTTGCAATGTAATATCTCAGTAATATTTTCGTGATATTGCATTGAAAGTTGTGATATTACTGCAATTACATACTGTGTGGGTATAGATGAGTTATCTTTAGACTATATGTTGGAAAACATGTATAATTTCTAATAAATATACTTTACCTTTGTTTCACATTTCTGTTAATGCATCCGGTTTTTCCAGAAGAATAAAGCATTTCTGTCGGTATTTGAAAGTTATTAATAAAGCTTGAACAATTAATATCCCTTCAAACTTCCTCTTATCCATATATTATTCTTCTTTATGTGACAGTGTATATAAAGTAGATACATATTCCTTTTCTTATAATAGTTACAGCTAAGCATGTCCTGCTTTGCGAACATATTATCGATAATAACAAAGTAATTTACTGAACTGAAATTAGAAAGACGTCCACTACATCTAAAGGAATTTATAAATACATGTTGCGATAGTGCATAGCGGCTTAGAAGAAATAGATTTCAGTGCCGTGCGAAATCGATTGGGAATTTATTTATATGTAATTATCAATACGCTATAAAGTAATAATTATCTTATAGTATACTGTCTAATCCAAGAATGTTGCAGTCCTCATAGATCTACAAGACGTACACAAACATGAAGTTGCTTGCGCTACACGCGCAGAATGCCAGTCTGCGCAATATCTAACAATTCCATCTTCATGTCTCGCTGATCCTTAATGCAAATTGTTACATGTCATTGTAAGTTGTATCATTTTATTGTAACTTTTATTGTTTTTACTTACACATTCTTAATATTCTATCAATAATAAGTTTTCAGGAATGTTAAAGAAAAGCATTCAACTCTCCTTTTTATCATTACTAAAGATTATTATTAATTAAAAATACAGTTGCTGTTTTAAAATATGAGATATGAACATATATGTTGTTGTAAATTCCACGTTTTATATTGTATTATAGTTTGAATTTTTTTATGACATAGAAAATAAAGATCCATAACGGTCGAAAGTGGATCTTTAATAATTCAATGTAAATTTGTGTATACAATACAGGGTGAGCAAAAAGTCTCGGACCGGTGAAATATCTCGAAAACTAAGCATTTCCGAAGTAACCTAATCTCCTGGGCCCCATTTAGAGAACTTAGGTTACGATCGGCGTCTCTGGAAAAGAGCTCGCGAATATAAACGAGCGTCTCCTGGAGCCTATCTCTAGATTGCCAGCACCTCGTACTGGCACCGAGTCGGCCGACTTCGCCGCTGCGCGAGAGCGAGCGAGACAGTGAGCGCGCCCGTCCTTCTCTACTAGTAACTTGTGAACACAAGTGAGTAAGAGCGAAAAGGTCGGTCGCTCTCTCTCGCTGTTTCGCTCGCTCTCGCGCAGCGGCGAAGTCGGCCGACTCGGCGCCAGTAGGTGTCGGCTTGGTAGGGATAGAAGTGGTGGGGCGGGTTTTCTATGATGCCGGGGGCCAAATGTGCATCACTGGTAGTAGACCGGGCGGGCGCGCGTATTCGGCTATCTTTAAGGATTAATATCTCGTTAACTATTGGGGAAACTTGCAAAATGGTAGAGGACTTTTCGACTCAGTATAGTCTATTCTACCCACGCACGAAACATTTTGCGATTTTTTCCTGACACCCTGTATAAATAATTAAATTCTTTCTTAATTATTTATCTTAATTAAATTTTGCCGTTCTTCAGAACTGAAACAAGAAATATGAATATATTATACGTAGATAGCAAAATGAATAAATAATTTACAATGTATAAATAAGCCTTTACATAGTATCATTAAGACTAATAAAGAAAAAATATTTGTGCTAAAGTATTTATTGTACAATAAACGGAAAACGTACTTTGTTTTTATTTCATTTTTAGAAACAGAAGTGCGAACGAGTATGATTGATTCAAGATCTATAAAAAACAAAATGTTTAAAAAAAGTAATCGTCGATAACATTAATATTGAAATTATATAGTACACACAATGTAAATAATTTTTATAAGATTAAGAAAATTATTTACGAAAATGGCGTAATCATATGTGCTGAATACAAGTAGTACATTAAGTCTTACCGTCATAAATGAAGGCAGAGATAGACTAAATCTTTCAGAGATTGACAGTTTACACTCTAAATTATTAGTTATTATCAACATTCTGAACATGTGTTTTAATGATGGCCCAAACTGATACCATTTCTCATGAAATGCTTTATCTGTTATTTCTACACTCTAAATTTTAGAGAAAATGACAATACATAGAATCGAACTTATGCAATACATAATTAACATTTTAATAAATTATATAATTTATGTCCTATATATTCAAATTTTTACTTTTAATTTATGTAACATACAGAATTACAAATAAAGTTATTTTCTAAATTCTAATATAGATTATAGATTATCTAATAAACTTAAGAGATACAGTTATTAATTATACACAGGCAACTTTGAACATTGTTCTACTCAATAATCAATAAATATTAAAATAAAGCTTACCGCATCTAGTAATTGATTAACGCATGAGCATAAAATATAAAGCTGTACTAGGCCACCAGATATATACATAATAATCATAATTCCTTCGACAGGAGCCTTCGATAATACCTAGGTTTGACATCGTTATCATTAACATCACCTTCAATTATCTAAAAAACATTTTTGATATTATTATTATTTTTAAATGTTACTCACTGCACTTATCAGCATAACATTGAGAAAACAAAAAAGAAAAACATTTATCAAATACATTAGACTCATATTCAAAGAAAGTAATTCCTTTAGCATTAGCGTTATCCTGAAAAAGGAACACATAAAGAAATAAGCTCAATTGGGAGTAATATAAATTAAAGAATATTTTTAAGAGACAAGTAACAATAATTCGAAAAAATAGTATATGATAAAGTAATAAACTAATTAAAAAACAGGCAAATGTTCACCAATTATACTTACTGAATCACAGCGTTATGATGTCGACATAACGCTTTCATCTTTATCAGGACCGCCAAAGAATCTACAGTAGATTTCTTTTCAGATTCATTACTCTGATTCTGTGGAACATTCTCTCGAAATATTGTTGTGAGCTTCACAGCAATATAGCGATATTGTGCTGTTACTAGCAAGATGAGATTAATCATATAGACATCCAAGGCAACCTTTTTTATAAACATATACACGCTGGCAATAGTTGCAATGCAGTTTCCCAACAGAAACATTTTCATCGAGAATGGTTGCTTTGAAAGAACTATTGGGAGCCTGTAATCTTCATAGAGAAAATAGTTTTTCTTGAGGATTACCGTGAAAGACGTGCAGCACCACACGAATATGGATCCAGTACCAACAATACAGTAAAATTTTAACGGAATTTCCACTGGCTTCAAGGTTGACCTCACGATGATTTTCATCATCTTATCCTCAGAGCACAGAATTTCATTTAGCTTTTGAATCAATTGAATTACGAGGTCTCTGTGCACATGCATTTGTCTTAATAAGAAAAATACCTGTATGGTGACAACTAAGCCAACCGTTGCATCCTGCAAAGCCTTATTTCTTGGCACAATCAAGATTCCGGTAACTACTGCGCTAGTTTGAATTGTTTCAATCAACCATATAACGGCACTATATATTCTCCATGCTACAGGAAATAGAGAATCGTCGCTAGTCATTGGTAACAAGTTGCCTGAGAATCTGTTTAATTTAACATTTAATGGATTTACGTTTTGAAAGTCCATGTTCTAGTGAACCCTCTTTCCTGACTGTGATGAAATATTGTACAAAACGTAGCTTGTTTTCGATTTCTCTTTTCTCTTTCTGATCATAAAGTATATGGAATAATGTTTTATTTCAAAGTTAATTTAACTCTTATGCTAATTAAGAGATAATTTAATTAGTTATAGCTGCATGATCCTTTCTGTTTTAGCATGAACAATAATTTTTAAATATGTGTATTTAATTTAGATATATATCCAGTTATTTGTATTTATTTCCACCTGATATTTTTATTATTGCACATATTCTATTTTTTTTCTTTAGCAGTATATATGGAACAATCACTATTGAAAGTTGATAGCAACTGTTCGTCATCTTTGAATATCTTATTCCTCTTAAATATCTATTTCTCTGTAGTTTGTATTATAATATGTATTGTCATTGGTGGGACATATCATTTCTCTTTTACCACAATTATAAATGTTTATTCTATGATGACAGATTAGAAACATGGTAAATTAACTATCATCAATAGAAAGCTTTTGTAAAGAAGGCCGTAAAGAAATAGAGAAGCTTGTAATCGTCTCAAGAAATTTGTGACATATCACGAAATGATCATTTTATTTGTACAGGTAGGACGTGACTCCAAGTTACTTTATAATTATTCTAGGACTACGAAGCAGCTATTATCTTATGGCATTCCAGTACTTCATTGCAGGAGTACTTCATCGCAAAGCACGCAAAGACGTAGGAAAACCAGTAGTTACTAGTCTAGTATACGCTCCTTCAGATAGCAATTGAGGATCGATTTATGTTACAGTAAACATGTGTGTCAATACCATTTTATAAATTATTTCAAAATGAAACATATTTATCTACTAATAAAACGACAATTAAAGTAAGTATTTCTATTACAAATATGTTTTAGAAAAATTAGTTAAAGAAACTTTAATTATTTACTTGTTTTAAATTAATTACTTTTAATTCTTTGCATTCTTTAATGTGTATTAGCACATAAAAGGTTTCAATATTTCCAAAAAATTTTTCAATAAGTTTTGATTTAATCCCTTGAAAATTAAATTGTTATGGACTTCACTTCTTATTTATCACAGTATATTCACATTATACTGTAACAATAAACCGTTTATTATTATTAAAAATTCTTTATCCGTTAAAAAATACTTGATATCTAAATTATTGTATTAATTTATTTTGCAATAAATTTAGTAAAAAAAGATTACATATAAACAAATGATAATTTCAGCAATATTATCTTGTCAAAATTCAAAATATTATTCATTTATTGTTAATGTTATTTTAATAACGTTTATGTGTACATTTTATTTTCACTATTAATCTTAAAGATAAATACTAAATGTACTAATTCTTTAAACAAATTTAATGTTATAAGTATTGAATTTTATCTATGGTTTATTACTTTCGGTCGAATTGGCTGAATTTTTGATATGTTGTAATTCTCGTCATTCCGAACAAATGTCTCAATGGGTGCAACTTGATGATATGGCTAGTTTTAGAGATATAGGCAGTCAAAGTGTCCTTTGTCGAAAATGCGATGTGCACTACATACGCGTCATTATCCTTATAGGGCTTTGTTTCTAATATAATTTTAATGAGTTAAATATAGTTACAATGATAGTAATTATAATAAATATAATAACTATGTATTATAATAGACACATATATAATAATAATTTATAATAAATATAATTATATTTATAATTTAAATCACTACTGGCTCTAATAGTGTACATTAGCAGTAACAATAATGCAATAGTGTTGAACACTACTAGTACTACTACTATCTTAGCAGTGATACTATTACATATCAGTAGTGATACTACTAATGTCAGCAGTATTACTATGCACTACTATGGACTAGTAGTTTTTTCCTACAATGGATCAAATGTATGAAATGTCTTGAAGTCCCGTTGTTTTATGAATTAAAACGTGACGTGAGCTGTCGACAACAATTTCGGAAAATAACAATTGAAAAAACATTTAGAAAATGGTGATAAATAATTAATAGAAAAGAAAAATTATATAACGATTATATAAGATAATATTAAATAGCAATATATTACTGAATTTATTACATTATATAGTTCATACAAACATAATGTTCCAGCAATACTGCAGTAACATGTTTACGAAGGTTGCATCAATGTTGTTGCAAACTTCTGTGCTAATTATTATTTTATAATAATAATACTTGTCATCTGTCATAAAACCGTGAAAGGATCAGTGTCTAATCCTATTTAAGCAGCTCAGTTATCATTAAAATGCGGTTTTGTTTCTTGTTAGTAAGTGTAAAATGTATGTATACATATGGCGTTGTACACAAATCAACCACTACATAGTTATCGCAAGATTATACTTAAAGTAAGCTCTTTTCCTCTTTGATAAAATGTATATTGTTATTACTTTCCCTGCTCCCTTGGTACGTCTGTAAATATAGATTCTCTGACGTATTAAAAGCAACAATATGAAATACAAAAATACACAATAGAAAATATTCAAAATATGAATTTCAGAAACGTAATGAATAATCGAAATATATATTCTTTCCTATTTTTGAGAAAATAAATGTGTCGCAGTATTAATAATTATATGAAAATAATTTATTTATTAATAAATTCATCTAATTTCGTAACTTTTGCTCTATAAGTAGTATACATTTTTGTAGAATATTAATACTTCCCATTATTAATTTTTTTCGTTATTAATGTGAAAGTAATGATTATAACTATTGTAGATAAACATCTTTTTCTCGCCACTTTTTATTTCATTTTCAAAAACAAAAGGGCAATCGAGTATGATTGATTTAAAATCTGAAAGAAAATTTGAAGAATGTTCAGTTCGAAATTGGACAGTGTTACTATTGCAAAAAAAAAAAAATAAGAAATATATAAAATTTTACCGTCATAAATGAGGGTAATGATAAATTGAAATTTTTAAACGTTGCGATTTTGCATTCTAAATTATTAGCCATAATTATCAAGTTAAATATGTGTTTTGTCGATGGTTCAAGCAAATACCAATTTTCGTGGAACGCCTTATCTGTTATTTCTGTACTCTACGTTTTCCAAAATAGAGCAACATACGACAAAAAATATTATTATTATTATTACATGTAATATATATAGAACATAATTCGTAATTTATAAAACTATATCAAAAAAATATCTAGTTTCTTAAAAATCTTTGTGTTATTGTAATATTCGCTAAAGAGAAAAAAGTAATTTATAATTATATAGTGGGAAGGAATGTGGTGTGTGTGTGTGTGTGTGTGTGCGCGCGCGTGCGCGGGCATAATCAAATTGCAGCTAAAAAATTATAAAAAATATCACTTTTATTTACTAGAGGTAAAAATTGACACCTTTTTGTTGGCATCCTACTTTCATTGTCATTAAAAAATCTTTAATTCTTTAGACCGCTATTTCATTTGTGCTTTTTTGTCGTACAGCAAGTTTTTCAAGCCTGTTGATTGGCTGTATGATAGAAAGATCCGAAGCCTCTCTGTTCTGCACGTATTTGTCGTACATCAAAAACACACAAATGGAATAACCCTTAGATGTAAATTAAATATAAAATAATATTGATGATATAAATTACAAAATTTACCGCGTCTAATAATTGTTGCACACAAGAGCACAAAATATAAAGCTGTACTGTTGCACCTGATGTGAACATGGCAATCGAAATTGCTTCCCCGAAAGTCGCGGATGTAACCTGAAAAAAGATGTATTAATTATTAAATCATAACACAGTGATATAAAAGAACTCTCTCAAAAGTATAGTAATACGTTTCGTGAAGATCTTTTTGTGCTGAACGCGATACTGTTAGCAGAATTTGTCTAACATGTCAGGATTTGGAATAAATTGAAATGAAATCAACCAAAATGGCGTTTTTAGTAATTTTTAACATTTTTTTTGCGGCAAAAGAAGAACTGATCTCTAAATAAACTCAACAACACCTGAAAGTATAATTCAAGAAATTTCCAATGAGCTTTAGTTCATGATCGTACGACATTTCTTCATAAAGTTATAACTATTTGAATTGTGGATTTTCTGTAAAATTTTCAAGAAAAGTATGCATACTTATACATGGTGTTTTAGTGCGTGCATTGTACGTGCGTGCGTGCGTGTGTGCGTGTATGTGTTGCTAAAAACTGTAAACATATGAGATGTTATAGAAAGTCTAAAATTCGAACAGCTATAACTTGATGAAAAAAAATCGTACGGTCATGAACCAAAGTTCGTTTGAAAATCTTTGAATTATGCAACGTTTCATCCAGATGGATAATTGTAGTAGCGTTTCGCTTCTTTATCTTCAACAGGTCTTTAAAGCTCCAAAAAATTGAAAAAAGGCGCTACTTTCTTACTTCTCACTGAATACATTCATGTCGCGCGCCATCAATGTTTTCCTGTTGTGTGAATCCTCAATACGTAGGCATAAACTGCCAAAGTTTTTTACTGTATACGATCTTTCGAGTATGGGAAAATCAAGTAATCCAAAAAGATGAAAATCCAAAAAGATGAAAAGATCTCCTTCCTTGAGACCATCTTACGGGCCTCAAAAGCAAGATGGCCCATCTAATAGATATACTAATGCAGAAGGAAATTAGGACGCCCAGTCGCTCTTTTCGATAGTCAGCGGGTTTTCCTCCCCGGTGCATCAGGACAACCAGGGATCTCGAGGTGGAATCCATAATTCAGAGATTCGTTTCAACCGATCATTCCTCGCCTCTCATTGGAGAGCAAAGCGAACCGGCAGACCCAATATTGACAGATGTGAATGGTATTGCTGAATCTGTATTTGCGAAATACAGGCGGCATGACATCACGATCTTATTTTTTCTTCGGATGTTTGATGTATTGTCCTATTGCATGGGTAAGTAATGCGAAGGGTAAAGGTGAAGTCCCACGACCCGTGGCTCGACATGGCTCGGCAAAGCTCTACGCGCCGTAAGACCAAGACGCACCAAGAGCTATTGCTCGCGATCCGTGGTTCGTAATATATCATTTTCAGAAATTAGCGGTAAGTTTCGCGAGCCAAAGGCCTCGACGTCTCAATTAGCAATAATGATTAGGTTCTGACATAGTAAATTCTGCCAATATCGTCTTCAGCGCGAAAAATTCTTCAGGAAATGTACTATCACACTTCTCAGACAAAAAAATGTAATTTTTTTGTCGCACTGTGAAATTATAATAATATAATTCAATAGTTATTTTTAAATGCATTTTTATCTAAAATCAATTTCTATAAACAAAAAGTGAGAGGAGGGGGGAAGAAGGAAGAGGCAAGGGAGGGGGATAGAGGAGAGAGAGAGAGAGAAGAAAAAGAGAGGAAGGGAGAGAGGGAGAGAAAAGAAAAAAACAATTAGTAACAAATTATAGTAGGTAACAAATTATTACTCACGCTGCTAAACATGATTCCAATAAAGCAGAATCGAAACACACTCATAACATACATTAAACTAAAGTTTAAAGACAACAGTTTCTTTAGCAATAAAGTTAAGCTGAAAGAAAACGTACAATTATAAAAGTAAAATACCATAAAATAATGCAAAGATAATTACACAGATTTAAGTATAAACTTTATACAAAAGCAAATATGAAATATAATCAGACAAATAACTTAAATATAAAGAATTAATTTGTCATATTTGTTATATTTTTGTATATTATATAATATACAAAAATACAAAAAAAAACAATAATTGATTATATACACATATATATACATATATAATCAATTATTGTTTTTCATATTTTTTTCTTGTCACAGAAATTGATAGAATATACTTAAATAAACTTTAAAATACTCACTATATCACATCATTGTGATGTCGACACAGTGCTTTTATTTCCTCTTCTTTTTTCCAATAATGCTTAGGAGAATGTCCTGTTCGAGATTTATCATCTCCATTTTTTTCTTGACATATCATCGCGATTTTCAACGCAATATATCGATACTGCGCTGTTACCATCAAAACTAAATGCATCATGTATACCTCCACACTGATTTTTTTAATGAACATATATACCGAGACGATCAGTATAAATAGATCTCCTAGCAAAAAGATTCTGAACGAGAATGGCTGTTTGGAGAAAACAGCAGGCATTCTGTAATCCTCATAATAAAACAGATTCTTTTCGAATATCAATACGAAATGCATACTGCTCCATCCTATTATCGCTACTACGCCAGAGGACAAGTAAAAATTGAGTGGAATCTTTACCGGCTCTAAAATCGCTATTACAACATTCTTCATAGTCCCATCGGCAATATGCAGTATTTCATTCAACTTTTGAATTAATTGGTATGCCAAATTTCTACGAGTGTAAATTCGCAGAACCGCAAAGAGTATTTCCATGAAGACCACAATAGCGTGAAGGCCATCCTTAAGAGCTTTCTCCATTGGCACGTAGATGCATCCAGGTATCATCGCGATTATCAAAATGAAATGTATTATCCACACAAAAACGCTATACATTTTCCAAAAAAATGAAAAGGATGAGTCGCGATTGATCATCGGTAAAAGATTGCCCGAGAGCAAATTCAAACGAACATTGAAGGAATTAACGTTTTGAAAGTTCATCCTCACGTCGTCAATCGGAATTCTGTACCTCGTATTCACTTCGCTTCACGTCTTTCTCATAATGTTATATCACACGCATATCTCCTTTTCTTTTTCAAGAAGACGTGTGCAGCTTTTGAAAATGACTGCATCGATCTCTGACATTACATTATTCCTTTGAATTTCTACTCGATAACTGGATTTGTATTAATAGACGTTGTCACATGACGTGCAATGATATTCTGTTTTTTCATTACAATTTATAATGTTTTATCTTGTTATTAGTGCACATCAGAACTTCAGTATCGTCAATAACATAGCGTATTTCTGAATAAATGACGATTTGAGAAATTCTCTTTCATCTTCTATTATTATGAAGTGTAGGAATTAATAAATAAATATGACGATGTCAAGAAATAAAAACATTCGAGACTAGAATCTTTACTACATCTATCATAGGGAGAAGTATAGTGAAAGGCCTTCCTGCTAATATGTATGTTCTACAAAGTTGTATTCTACACAACAACGATTATCTTATAGTGCTTCCTTAATTACAAGCACGACTACACGTCGCAGAACTGAGAGTCGCGAAAAATTCACAGTGTATAATGTTGTTTAATGCGTACTTTCTAGATTTGAAGATGTCCTCTCTCATCTTCCATTATCATGAAATGTAGAAGTTGATGAATAAACGTCACGACGTCAAGAAATAAAGACATTCAATGTATAGGACTGCAATCTTTACTACATCGATGGCAGACAGAAATATAATCTGGGTTTTTCTTCTAAATATATCTGTTTTCTACACAATTGCATTCTATACAACGATGGTTATCTTGAAGTGCTCTCTTTATGATTACTCAACTATAACACACTGCATGATTGTAAGTTGTAAAGAATTCTTGACACATAATGTTGTTTAACGCGTGCTCTATAAGCAAAAAATGACAATACAATTTTCTGAGTTACTGTAACATGTTAATGTTTTATAAAAATAAGTACACCATGTTCATGTATCACGACAGTATTATTAATATAAATATTTCTTTTGACAATATATTTTCTGTCGCTTATTAATACTGTCTTAGGACGAAGCGAAGTGTATCCCGATTTGCATCGGTTCTTTCCCACAGCTCCCTTGTGGGCCGGAGCCTGGACATGGCCAAATCGATCTAAAAATTCGGTTCCTGTTGCGTTCCTCCCTCAGATCCATGCGTGCGGAGCTTGGACGTAACAACATAATTGAAATATAAGTGTTGATTTTTTTTTAAATGCTGTTTAGAATCATGACCTTGATAACATTTAACAAAATCAAGAATAGTGTTTATATAAAACAACTATCGTGTTCTGTAAAAGGAATCCTAACGTAATTTTCACTCGAGCGGATAAGGGGAATGTCATCGTGGCGTTACATAAAGATGAGTATATTAAGAAGACGGAGGAATTGTTGATGGATAATGATATCTACAATATAATGAAGAAGAATTCGATTTAAAAAATCGAAAAAAATCTGAATTTAATATTAAAGAAATGATTAGATAATGACTACATTTCTAATAAAACAAAGTTAGCCCTTCAATCATCTGACTCATATCTTCCATTGGCATATGGCCTTATCCACAAGGTTAATTGCCCAATGAGAATCATTGCTTCGTCTATTAACACATACTGTTAAAAATGTCATGAAGCGCGAGTGAGGTTTCCCTTCGACGCGACGCCCGGCTCCTTAAGAGTCTTAGGACGAAGCGAAGTGCCTCCCGATTTGCGTCGGTTCTTCCCTACAGCTCCCTTGCGGGCCGGAGCCTGGACATGGCCAAATCGATCTAAAAATTCGGTTCCTGTTGCGTTCCCCCTTCAGATCCATGCATGCGGAGCTTGGACGTAACAATATAATTGAAATATGAGTGCTGATTTTTTTTTACTAAAGTCAGAGTTACAATTATTATAAATACAACAAATTATTTTTTATTAGTTTAAAGAATAAAAAAAAAGGATCGAAAATAAAAGTTATTTCTAACAGTAAGTAAAATATCATAACGTTATCCACATGTAGCCCATTATGTTCTAACCATAATATCCTCGGATAATTAATAATTCATAATATCATGTGTAAAACATAAATTTATTTTTTTTCTTAAAGAATTTTAATTTTTCTTGTCCCAAAATAACAATCCTCTATTCTATACTACTAAATTTAAATATGCGTGATATATTTTTCATCTCGCTTTTATAAACAAAAGGGAGATTGAATATGATTGATTTATAATCTAAAATACCATTAAAAAATACGACATAAGAAAGTTGAAGTATGCTAATTATTTCAATACGTATAAGGAACACAGATATACCGAGAAAAAATTTACTAAATTTTTATAAATTTTCCTCTGAATAATCCTAGCGAAATATTTACTAAATAAAAACATATATTTATTAGATACAAGAACCATTAATTTAATTCAATTATTATTTTTTTATCTAAATATTTATTTACCGTAAGTAAATATTCCGCTACGACTATTCAAACAAATACTTATTAAAATTTAATAACTTTTCTCAGTGTATACAATAAATCTTACCGTCATAAATGAGGGTAGAGACAGATTAAATTTTCCAATCGCCGCAATTTTGCATTCTAAGTTATTAGACATTATCAATAATATAAATATACGTTTCAATGATGGTCCTAATTGATACCAGCCTTCATCAAATGCTTTATCTGTTATTTTGGTACTCTATAATTAGTATAAAGTATAAAAAATGACAGATTGTAATTACAGATTATTTTTTTTACTTAATCTTACCAATACTTGTAATTCATGTATCCCTTCATGGCATGGTGGAAGGGATTGACATAGTGTGTTCAGTTTGGACAAATCACGCCCCTTTTACGAGTCGAAGTACCGTTTATCGACCCAGACCTGCCAACTGCGAAGAAATAAATGATGTTAACATTTGTTAACTGAATAACATTTGTTAAGATCACTTAGGAAGGACACAATCCACATCTTGTTTATTGTTGCAATTTAATGTAAAAATATAAATCATAAATTTTTTAACTAAAACGATGCGTAGGCCACGCTTGTTAATATTTTGAACCGAGAAAAAAAAAGCTTTTTACGTGAATGACTGCTAGACGCATACTAATAGTCCGATTAAAAAGCTAAGCATTTCTACCGATAACTGAAACTTCAAAACTCCAGTAGATGGCAGGTAAACGCCCTTCCGGAGGCAGGATTTAGAATTTAGCGAAAGACGATGTTCGGGTCATTTTGACTCAGAAGACCATGAAGGGATATATATAATCATTATTATTACTTATATAATTATAATTACAATATTATAAATAAATAAAATTGTACAAGTTGTATTTTCTTTTTACATTAGATCATAATTTCATAAATTTCTGTAATAATAAGAAGTACAACGGCAAATTATGTGACGCTTGAAATAATACTTACAAAATTTGATAATGTAACATTTCTCTAATATCATTAATTACTTAATGACAATAAATAATATATATAACATGAAGTAATAAATCTTACTGCGTCTGAAAGTGTTTGTACGGAAGAACACAACACAAAAAATTGCGTAAATGTACTGATTCCAAATATAATGACCGAAATTGCTTCTGTAATATTCATTAATGGTACCTGAAAATACATAAAGCACTTCTTAGAAAATGACAAATAAGAAATACCTTTAGAAAAAAAAAATTATTTCTACTTTTCTTATTTGACAAGTTTCAGTGTTTTAAATTAATTAAAAACCTATTTCTAATTTATGTAATATAAACAAAAATGATTTTAAAAACTTTAATTTTGTATATTCACTAAAAATTCATTAATTTCTTAAAATGAGTTATCTGAAAAGTGAACACGTATAACAATAAATGATTAATTATCAATCAGAGTTATTAAAATTATTTTTTGTTTCAAATTAATAACATCAATATTACTCACTGTGCTTAATATGATACCTGCAAAGCAGAACCGTAATACGTTATTGATATACAGTAGACTGAAGTTCACAGACAGAAGTTTCTTTAATATAAATGACATGCTATAACGCAATACAGAATGTACAAAACATCATAAATAGTAAACTGCGTATTATCTAAATAAAAAAGCTAATATTCTCTATTAAAAATTGTTGTTAAAAACGTTGGTATAAGAAATAAGGTAATTGTTTACTTTGGGAGGGGCTTCTCCGATTACCTTGATCTTGACATATGTTGTCAAGGTCATCGGAGAGGCCCTTCTAAAGTAAATATTTATCAGAAATAATAAAATTTATAGTATATACCGAGTATTCAAAATAATACGTTATAAGTTTTTATCTCGAAACATGGCATTACTGAAAAAAAGTGTTCAGACAAAAGTTGTAGGATTCAAAAAGATCAATTTACTGTTCTTAGTCAGTTTGACTTTAAGTGGCGTCACCAAGGTCAGGTCGAGGTCACGTCGATTTTTTTAAACGGAACACTTTACTTTTGATTCCAAAGTCTAATAGCCGATGTTGAGTACTTTCTAAAATACTCTATAATAAAATTATTTTTTTATTAAGTACTTTTTAAGTTATAATGCTTGAAAGTTACAGTACCGCCAGCATTAGCATATTATCCAAGGTATTCAACCAACAGTTAAACCTCTTGAATGTTGTTTAGAATCATATCCTGGATAACATTTGTCAAGATTATTAGGGATTACTGCTCTTATTTTCATTTGTACACTAAAAATTCATTTTTATACGTAAAAATAAAAATAAGAGAAAATAATACAATCTCCTGGCTTTGATCTTGACAAATAGTATCCAGGACATGATCCTGAACAATATTTAAAAGGTTTCAAATGTCGGTCAGACACCTTGGGTAATGCTAATGCCGGTGGTACTATAACTTTCAAGCATCTTAACTTAAAAAGTAGTTAATGAAAAAATATTTTCTTATAGTGTTTTGGAAAGCTCTCGACATCAGCTATTAGATTCTGGAAACAAAAGTAGAATGTTCCATTTTAAAAAAATTGATGTGACCTTGACTTGACCTTGGCCACGTCACCCAAGATCAAACTAATAAGACCAGTAAATAGACCTTTTTGACTTCTACAACTTTTGTCTGAACAATTTTTCTCAATAATGCTGTGTTTCCGAAATAAAAATTTGTAACATTTTATTATCAACACCCGGATGTACATGTTATTTAAATTTGTACATATAAAATAATAAAAACATTATTCTTTCCTATTTCATCAGTGATCCATTAAGAACCAAAAGAGAAAGAATAATTTCAATAATGATCAAATGATTTTTTTTTAATTCAATATTTATTACAATGATCATATTATACGTACTTTAAGACGATATTCTGCTGCAGACATAATTTTCGTAGTTCTCTCTCTGTTTGTCTATTTTCCATGGGATAATGTTCTTTTCGAGATTCGTTGTAGATTTGTGGATCTCGAAACAATATTGCCAGCTTTGTTGCAGTGTATCTATATTGTGCCGTTAACATTAATACCAAATGCATCATATACACATCCATGCCGAATTTCTTGAGAAATAAATAAATGGTGCCAACTATCTTTAAAGTAGTCGAAGAAATCATAGCACTACTGGAGAATGGTTCGCTGTTAAAAGTAGCTGGCAAATTGTAATTTACATAGAAAAAGATGAACTTCTCGAAGACCAATACAATTGGATGTTTGGAGTGATACATTGTAATAGATATCACGCTAAAAACTCCATATATTATGAACGGCACTATTATGGGCTTTATTGCTGACTTTATGATATTCTTCATTATTTCGTCTGTATTTTGCAAGATAGCATTCATCTTCTGAATCATTTCCTCCATCAGTTTCTTGTGTGAATAAAGACGCGTAAGCATGAAAGATGCCTCCACTGTGAGCAGGATGTTGTGAGTACTGCCTTTCAGACCATTCTCCTTTGATGCCATGATGATTCCCAAAATCAATGCGATTGTGTGAGTTAATTGTATTAGCCATACGACGGCACTATAAGTACGCCAGATTACTGAAAACCGCGAATTATCAGATGATATCGGTAATAAATTCCCCGAGAGCATGTTTATTCGACTGTTTAATAGATTCACATTTTCGAAATTCATTCTTTTCGTATCGTATATATATTTGTAAGTCGGAAATATCTCGATGAACGGTGGTTAAGATTTGAAACTTCAATTGTTTGTACTTCCAATAGTATCTGTTACACGTGCTGCTATGGTTTCATCCTTTATAAGTAAAAATAAGCGAGTTTTCCTTTATTCCAAAATTATATTTAACTCTACATTAAGGAATTTATTATTCCCTTTATTTTTTTCTGTTTATTAATAATACATTATAAGTAGTCGACGAAGGATGACTTTCTTTCCTTTCATTCTGTTTTCTTCGTTCATTCTACTTCTCTATTATGTTTGCCCTGTAATCGTTGTATAGATATATCAAATATTAAATATTATCAAACCATATCTTTGACAAAGGTTTTGTGAGGTTCTGTATTCTAGTATAATAGAAACACATGTAGAACCTTATAAAGATCAATATATATGGCGCCATTGTTCAATGAAGTGCGGTTCTATTTTTTGATACTGTATATCAAGAGTGAATAATTATTACATTCCTTATAATTATCTCAACATCGCGACTTATACATCCTTATAATTATCTTATATTCCGTCATTATAGGATCTGGAATCGAGAAGCTCTGCAGAACTCGACACTGTTGATAGTATCGTTAATCGAAGTACAGAGTAGCATGGGGGAATTGCAAACATGGGATAAACGCGAGCAATGCTATTGCAGTATATTAGAATATAGTGATAAGTTCTCATTTCTCGTATCCGGTAGTAGCCCGATACACTCAGTGCTTAGGTATAATATCATAGAAATAGCGTGACCGTAGAATGTACACGTTATCTAAGGTAAATATCATTACTTGTTTTTATTGTTTTTATATAGGATAGAGTAAGAGAATTGAGAATATACCTAAAGGAAAAGTTAAATACAGCCGATGATTTATCAAGTGTAGAAGACATCCAAAGAACATCGGCTTAAACAACAATAATTAACACTTACATACTTTCAATATAAACATGATTTAAAAAGAAAGTAAAACTTAATTCGGCATTGCCTTGCGTGATTGCGGGAAACTCTAGATTACATGAATTTTTTGTTTAAATTACAGTTTATATTGATATAACATATTGATATTATATTATAACCTGCAAATATACGAATATGTGAATGTTAACTATGCAATTTAAAATCAAATAACTGGACTATCTTTTGAATAAAGACTTTAAGGTAAAAATGTAGATTAAGGGAGCGCCTCCTCCCTCTTCAAGAATCTTGATCTTTCCTTGTGGAAAAATGTGTCCAAAGTTATCCGAAACGTAGTCAAAATGTGTCCGAATTCGTCCTAAATATCTCCGAAAATTATCTAAATGTACAAATTCGGACAATTACAAATAAAATGAGATACTTTCCTTCAAATTTCTGTAACACTGTCTGAATTTGTTAGAATTTGTCATTTTTTATATCTTTCGAACAAACTCTGACAAATTTGAAAACCGAACGCCAAATTCAAGAGAATCTTATCTATTAACTCATTAAGGCCCATGCTTAATACAGCCGTGATAGCGCCAAACTGAATACATGATTCATAGCATAAGCGAAAAAAAAATTATCCGTGTTGGCTGGTAATTGGTACTTAGCCGTGTAACAAAGCCTGATGACATGCTATGCCAGCAAATTGGAAGAAACCGAACAGAATCTGCTGCATAACCTGACAGGAGATTGCGAGCAGAAACCGAACAGAGCCTGTTGACATAATCTAATGGCAGATTGGCAGCAGAAACCGAGCAGATCTACCATTTCCATATACAGCCTCGCCACGAGATGGACTTGCTTCTCGTAAGAAGAAAACATCCAGGAGTTCTATACGAATTAGCGTAATGTAAATCAAATAGGCAAATTTCCTAGAGATTCCAAAGCTCTTTTGGAATGTGCTTCCTGAATCTCCGAATATGTTTTTTATTATTTTACAACTTTTTCATGTGTATTTTGAATGTGGAATTAATCAATAATATTTTAGCAATAAAATTGTATTGATTGTTTCACACCAGTATATATAAATATATAATTATATATAATTATATATAACCGTTTATATATATGTAAAATTTTTTATAAGAAACCAGGTCGATTTAAATTAAAACAACAGATCTTGTTTCTGCTGTCAATTTACTGTCAAGTTATGTCAGCAGATTCTGCTCGGTTTTTGCTCGGAACCTGCTATCAAATTTAGTCAGCAGGTTCTCTTTGATTTCTGCTGCCTGTCTGTTTTCACAGAATGTTAACAGATTCTGTCGGCAAAAGAGGAACAGAATGCGACATCAATTGTGGTCAGTCTGCTAACATTTTCTGATTAAATCTGCTACCAGTCTGTCGACATCCTGCTAACATTTAGCTATCCTATTTAACAAGCAGCTCAGTCATCACTAAATTGCGATTTTGTTTCTTGTTAGTAAGTGCAAAAAAAAAATATATATATATATGTATATAGCGTAGTACACAAATGAACCACTTCATAATTATCGCAAGATTATGCATAAAGTAAGCTTTTTTCTTCTTCAATAAAATGTATTGTTACTTCCGCTGCTTTCTTGGTACGTCAGTAATAGAGATTCTCTGACGTATCTGGAAACACTGGTAGTGTCTTGGTGCTAAGCTACGCGCAGCGATACTGCTGTGGCTACTTTACGCGAGTCGTTAAAACAACGCGCGCGACATGAAATATAAAAATACCAATAGAAAGTATTCATAATACGAATTCCAGGTACGTAATCAATAATGAAAATGTATATTTTTTCTGTTTGAGAAAATAAATGTGTCGTAGTATTAATATACGAACGTAGTTCATTTAATAATAAATTCATATTTTATGACTTTTGCATTATAAGTAGTACACATTTTTACAGAATATTAATATTTCCATTATTAATTTTGTTTCGTTGTTAATGTGAAGGTAATGATTGTAATTATCATAGCTAGACATCTTTTTCTCGTCACTTCTCATTTCATTTTCAAAAACAAAATGGCGATCGTGTACGATTGATTTAAAATCTGAAAGAAAATTTAAATAATGTTAAATTCGAACATGACAGTGTTACTATAATTGCAAAAAAAAAAGAAATATATAAAATTTTACCGTCATAAATGAAGATAAAGAGAAATTGAAATTTTTAAACGTCGCGATTCTGCATTCCAAATTATTAGCCATAATTATCAATATAAATATATGTTTTGTCGAGGATTCAAGCAAATACCAGTTTTCGTGAAACGCCTTATCTGTTAATTCTGTACTCTAGATTTTTCGAAATAGAGCAACATACGACAAAAAATATTATTATTATTATTATTATTATTATATATAATGTAGAACACAATTCGCAATTTATAAAACCATAATGTCCAGTTTTTCCAAAATTTTTATGTTATCGCAATGTTCATTAAAGCGAAAGAAGCAATTTATGATTATACAAGGTTTATTCCAAAAGTAATTGACCTCTGCGTATATATATATATATATATCTTTATCTTTTGTAGGAGGGAGAGAGGGAAGGAGGGAAGAAGGGAAGGGAGAGAGAGAGAGAGAGAGAGAGGACGCTCAAGGACAAAGATATACTCAGAGGTCGAATATTTGGGACAGACCTCGTATGAACTATCGTCCAAAAACATGTCTTATCATATTTTTGCTAATAATATTATTTTTCATTCATAAAATATAAAATTATAATATGGTGCACACTCTCTTATTTTTTATAACGATATTATTCAATATAGAATCATGAAAAAATAATTATATACAAATTTCTCAAAAAGACAATTATCAAGTAAGTTAAAGGTACACTAATTTCAAATTTTTTGCATCTATAAACATTTAAATATCACGACTAACCATAAGAAAAAATTGAACCAATACATATATTATCGCAAAAATTAAATGCCAGATTCAACATAAGTCTTTAATTAATGATTAAAGAACTTAAAGAGACATTGTCTCTGAACACACTAGAGAGATGACCATCCCACTCTCATCGCATTGTTCTGATAATTTGATATTTTTATATTATATTGGCATATGTTCTACAAGATACAATTTCGTTCTAATCCGCGTACTATGTCCAGAAGTTTCACATTTTTACTGACTACAACCATTGTACAAGCTTCATGTTACACTGAGCGTAATTTTTTTATTACACGAATACTGTGAGTCTTATAAGTTTTGCGATTGAGAGTGAATTATAATTTTTATATTCTAATTTTTTAAATATTTTCACCGTTTTACTTTTATATTACAACATTGATAATGATCCAATAGGGATCGAAACGTCTGTTTTTGTTTTGTTTATGTTTGATTGTTTATTGTCGGCAAATTAAAGTTTATATTATAACGAAATGACATATTTTTATTCTGTGATTTCTTAATAATTTCAATTTTATAACGACTAAATTTTAGGCTCGTAGCCCTTTTTCGTTCTGTTCTTTATTAATGATATAAATTATAAAATTTACCGCATCTAATAATTGTTGCACACAGGAGCACAAGATATAAAGTTGCACTGTAGCACCTGACGTGTACACGACAATCGAAATTGCTTCCCCGAACGTTGTGGATGTAATCTGAAAGAAAATATATTAGTTATTAAATCATAATTAATATAATTAATATAATCATAATTAATCATAATTAATATAATCATAATTAATATAATCATAATTAATATAATCATAATTAATATAATCATAATTAATATAATCATAATTAATATAATAGTTATTTTCAAATGTCTTTTTATCTAAAATCAATTTCTATAAACAAAAAGTGAGAGGAAAGGAGGGTAATTATTTAGGTTAAGGGACACCCCGCCGATGATCTTGACCTCGACATATGTTGTCAAGGTCTTGGCCCTGAGTGACCTTCGACACTCTGTGTCATGACTTTGACAAGATATGTCAAGGTCATCGGCGAGGTGTCCCTTAATCTATAATTATCGAAAGGAGGGAGGGAGGGAAAGGAGAGAGAGAGAGAGAGAGGGGCAATTAGTGATAACAAACTATTACTCACGCTGGTAAACAAGATTCCAATAAAACAGAATCGAAAGACACTCATTACATACATTAAACTGAAATTTAAAGACAGCAGTTCCTTTAGCAATAAGGTTAAGCTGAAAAAAAAAGTATAATATAATCATAACGCCATAAAATGATACAAAGATAATTACACAAATTTAAGTATGAACCTTATACAAAAGCAAATATAAAATTTAATCAGACAAATAACTTAAATATGTAAGACAAATAATTTAAATATGCAAGAACTAATTTGTCATAATTGTCGTATTTTTGTATATTATATAGTATACAAAAATACAAAAAAACGTAATAACTCATTATCCATATAGCACACTAACGTTGAATCAATATCTCAGAAACGTTGATTACAACATTGCGAACATTGCAGTAACATCGCAAAATGTAGATTCAATGTCGAAGAGATGTTACACAATTTAATGTCATGCAATTCATGCGACGTTATATTAATTAATTCAATTTTGTTGTTAAAATAAGTGTTATTGATTAACATCATATTCCAGAACACACACGACAAAAATTAAACGACAAAATCCGATTGAGTAATCTCCGCGTGGTATATACCTCGGGTAATGCTAATGTCAGCAGTACACAGTAACCGTCAAATTTTATAACTCGAAAAATGCTTAAGGAAGAAATACTTTATCATAGTATTTGAAAACGTCTCACTTCAGCTACAAGAATATGCAATAAAAATAGTAGTTCCTATTTAAAAAATTTATGTTAATCTTGACTTGACGTTGATAATGCCTCATATACAAAAACTGTAATTTCCATCTTCTTTCCCAAGAAAACCTACACTTTAAAAAAAAAACTTTTTCCTCTATCTCTCTTAGTTTCTAAAATATCCGCATGGGGCTATTAAAATGATCCACCCTGCATACATATAATCAAATATATTATGTTTTTTCATACTTTTTTCTTGTCACAAAAATTGATAGAAGGTATTATATACTTAATAAACTCTGAAATACTCACTATATCACATCATTGTGATGTCGACACAGTGCTTTTATTTGTTTTTCTTTTTTCCAATAATGCTCAGGAGAATGTTCTGTTCGAGATTTATTTTCTTCATTTTTTTCTTGAAGTACCATCGCGATTTTTATCGCTATATATCGATACTGCGCTGTTACCATCAAAACTAAATGCATTATATATACTTCCACACTGACTTTTTTAATGTACATATATACCAAGACGATCAGTATAAATAGATCTCCTAGTAAAAAGATTCTGAACGAGAATGGCTGTTCGGAGAAAGCAGCAGGCATTCTGTAATCCTCATAATAAAACAGATTCTTCTCAAATATCAATACGAAATGTATACAGCTCCATACTATTATCGATACCAAGCCAGAGGACAAATAAAAATTAATTGGAATCTTTATCGGTTTAAAAGTCGCTATTACAACGTTATTCATAACTTCATCAGCAATATGCAGTATTTCATTCAACTTTTGGATTAATTTGTATGCCAAATTTTTACGAATAAAAATTCGCAGAACCGCAAAGAGTATTTCTGTGAAGATTACAATAGCGAGCATGCCATCAAGAGCTTTCTCTATTGGCACGTAGATGCACCCAGATATTATCGCGATTATCAAAATGAAATGTATTATCCACACAAAAACGCTATGCATTTTCCAAAAAAATGGAAAGGATGAGTCGCGGTTGATCATCGGTAGAAGATTGCCCGAGAGCAAATTCAACCGAACATTTAAGGAATTCGTGTTTTGAAAGTTCATCCTAACGTCGTCAATCGGAATTGTGTGACTCTCCGTACCTTGTATTCACTTCGCTTCACGTCTTTCTCGTAATGTTATATCACACGCATATCTCTTTCTCCTTTTCAAGAAAACTTGTGTATCTTTTTTGTCAGCATTCGGAAATAACGGCATCGTCGATCTCCGCGACCTTCCATTATTCCTTTGAATTTCTACTTCATAACTGGATTTGTATTTATACATATTGTCACATGACATGCAATAGTATTCTGTACTTTTCATTACAATTTATAACGTTTTATCTTGTTATTAGTGTACGACAGAACTTCGATATCGTTAATGATATAGGGTATTTCTGAATAAATAACGATATGAAGAAGTCCTTTGTCATCTTCAGTTGTTATGAACTGTAGAAATTGATAAATAAATGTCAAGAAATAAAGGTATTCGTGGCAGGACTACAATCTTTAATACATCTGTCACAGGGAAAAGTATGGTCAGAGGCCTCCCTCTTAATATATCTATGTTCCATACTGATGTATTATACACAACGATGATTATCTTATAGTGCTTTCTTAATTACAAGCACGACTACACGTCGCAGAACTGTGAGTTGAGAAGAATTCACAGTATATAATGTTGTAACGCATACTTTATACATCTGAAAAAGTCCTCTCTCATTTTCTATTATCACGATATGTAGAAGTTGATGAATAAACATCACGATGTTAAGAAATTAAGACATTCAATGTACAAGACTGCAGTCTTTATTACATCTATCATAGAGAGAAGTATGGTCAGAAGCTTTCTTTATAAGTATATCTGTTTCTACAAAGTTGTATTCTACACAACGATGGTTATTTTGAGGTACTTTCTTTATAATTATAAGCACGAGATTCCATTAGACGTTCCATCCATTAGACGTTCAAATCTTGTTTTTATTCAGTAGGAACGTCTATAGACTTAATATATGTATTGTTTTCAAAACGTACATTATTCGACATACTAAGAATATTAACATGAATGCTTCAAAAATGTCCATCTCATATATTTTTATCCGTTTTGATCTTAATTAAACTAACTTCAGTATATATATTGTATATATAAATAAATTATTTTACTGAGATGCTATTTTCGCAATTAGTTTACAAATTGCCTTAATATGTATGCATCGAATCTTATCAGTTCCATTGAATTATGTGAAAACGCTCGTTACATTATAGGTTGTTTACGAATAGAAAAATTAATCCTTTAGGAGATTATGTTACAAATAATATCAGTTTTATTGGTATATTATCGAAATAGTGCGGCATTTTCATCCTGTGTCCTCCCGACGCGGAGGGCGGGCGTGTCGGCGCTTATCACGATTTCTGAGCGATTTCTATTATTGCATTTCGCGGAATATTATTATTTCTTTTTGCAAGGTCCTTTAGGATTTTATTATCGGCGGTTCAGAGCTGTAGTTTGTTCGATAAAGCTTTGTCTTAACACCTCAAATGACGGCGAGAAAGAAGACAGAAGACACCCATCGCAGCCACGAGGTCACTCGAGGGAGGGGTAGCACGCAGATAACGCCGCTTTGATTTTTTTCGAAATAATGCTCTGATTGTAAATTTGTGATCCTGTTGCTCAATTCCTTCCAGGCAATTATCAAAAAAGGAGCGATTCGAGCGTCATGAAGGGATGGATCCACTCTCTGCCATAAAATTAGCGAGGGACCCCGCTGTCGATGTCGTAATATAGCAATCTTACTATATTAAATAAGTTTATATTATGGTTGACAGATTTTCAAAAAAATTAGACACAAATTAATATACATATAAACACATATATTTTTTAATACAAACACATACTTAAATTGTGTGCTGATAGTATCTGTATTCTCTGAAGTAAGTGTTATAGCTATCAAAATGTAACAAGTTACCTTTAATTCAATTATTTCTAGGTTGAGAAATAGTTCGAGATTGACAAGAGACAAAGATTAAATTTCTGATTGGTAGTAATATGATAACGTCTGTTACATACTGATATTGTAACTTATTAAATTGTTCAAATTGTATTTTCGATTCATTATACAAAAGAATTTACTTTCTTGTATAATAAAATTTTTCAATATTCATTTCAATATTCTTCGTCTCAAAATAATCATTTTCTATCTTATATCTACTCTAAATTTAAATGTGTGTAAAATGTTTTTCTTAATTTGTTCTTAATAACAAAAGAGCAATTGTATATGATTGATTTATGATCTAAAACACCATTAAAAAATATGTTAGCGGTTTAAAGTATTAATCATTTTAATGCACATAGGAAGTATAAATCCACATTAATAATTACTGCCATAATTAATAAATCTTCATTAATAAATTTTACCGTCATAAACGAAGGCAAAGACAAATTAAACTTTCCGATCGCCGCAATTCTGCATTCTAGACTGTTAGACATTATCAATAATATGAACGTGCTTTTCGTCCATGGACCAAATTGATACCAGCCTTCATCAAATGCTTTGTCCGTTATTTCGGTACTCTATAATTAAAATAAAATAAAAAATGACAGATCGTAGTATCATAAATTATATATTTCTTATTTAATGTTATCAATAATTGTAATTCATAATTATGTTTATTATTTATATACAGGGTTGGGAAGTAATGCGTTAATTGTAACGACATTACTTTTTCGTTACTTTTTTTTGTAACAAACGCCGTTATTTTTTTTTATTAGTAACGAAAAAGTAACGTTACATTTTCGTCAGTAACGAGTAACGAAATTGATCCTGTTACTCTCGTATTGTTATTTTTTTATAGGTAACGGTCATCATAAATAATAAGATTACAGGTACTAAAAAAACTTTTTAACTATTTTTATTTCCTCGCTTTATCTAAGAACAAAAGACTAAAATATTATATAATAAAATACAATATAATTAAATTTAAATATGTAAAATATTAATAAAAAAAATAAATATATGTTTAAAAATGAATATCTTTTTAAATACGTAGGCCCGTCTCCTATAACATAATTACAAAAAAAGTGACGAAAAGTATCGATTTTTTGGTCATTATTCATATGTAACAGTAACGTGTTACTTCTCAGAATTGGTAACGATTAACGGCAACAAGTCACTTTTTATGCCGCAAATGACGGTAACAGTAACGCGTTACTTTTAAAAAGTAATTTTTCCAACCTTTATATAGTTACATTTTAAATAAATAAAATTATGCAAATTGCCTTTTCTTTTTCATTAAATCATAATTTTATAAAATTCTATTGTAATTATATATAACCTTCAAATTCTTTTGTTTGAAATAATACACATAAAATTATAATAATTTATATAATGTAAAGTACTAAATCTTACTGCGTCTAATAACGTTTGTACGGAAGAACATAACAAATAGAATTGCGTTAGTGAAGCTATTGCATATGACGTGACTGAAATTCCTTCTGCAAAAGACATTGATGGTACCTGATAATACATAAAATATTTGTCACAAAATTTCAAATAAAGAGTACCTTTAGAAAAAAAGAATGCATTTGTATTATTCAATTATTCTACTTCGAAAAGTTTCAATTTCAAGTTTTAAATCAATGAAAAACTTATCTCTATAATTTATATAATATATCCAGAAATGATTTTCAAACATTTTTGTTACTGTTAATTTTAATTGATATATTTAAAAAATTTTACCTTTACATTTATCAAATATCTATTAATTTCTTAAAATAATTTGGTAAGTAAGCACTATATAAATAATCAATTTACATCAATAAAGTTATTAGAATAAACCATTTTTCTCTTAAATTAATAACATCGTTATTACTTACTGTGCTTAATAAGATACCTATAAAGCAGAACCGAAATACGTTATTGAAATACAGTAAACTGAAATTCACAGACAGGAGTTTCCTTAAAATAAATGACATGCTAAAACACAACACAGAATATAATGTAGAATCATAAAATATAAACCGCGTATTTTCTAAATAAAAAAATCAATATTCTGTTAAATATTACAATTGGAAAAGTACCGGTTTTTTGTCAAAAGCAACAATCTAAATTAATGCATTTCTCCTCATTATTCAATATTTACTTTAGTAAATATATTACACTTACTTTAAAACGTTATTCTGGTGTACACATAATTTTCTTAATTCTCTCTCCGTCCATCGATCTTCCATACAATATTTTTTTTTAGTTTCATCGTGACAGTTCTGTAGACCTCGAAACAATATTGTGAGTTTTACTGCCGTGTATCGATACTGCGCCGTTAACAATAATACTAAATGCATCATGTACACATCCACGCCAAATTTCTTAAGAAATAAATAACTACTTCCAATTGTCATAAAAATGGTTGACAAAATCAGAACACGAGTGGAAAACGGTTCGTTGTTGAAAGCGGTTGGCAAATTGTAATCTACATAATAAAAGGTGGACTTCTCGAAGACCAATAAAATCGGCTGGATAGTCCATGTCGCGACAGTTATCACACCAGTCACTCCATATATTATGAACGGCATGGTTATGGGCTTTATAGCCGACTTCACAATATCCTTCATAATTTCGTCCGCACTTTGCAGGACATCGTCCATCTTTTCGATTATTTCCTTCATCAGCTTCTTACGTAAATAAAGACGCGTAAGCATAAAAGATGCCTCCAGGGTAATCACGACGGCGATAGTCCCATCCTTCAGACTCTTCTCTTTCGGTGCAAGGGCCATCCCGACAGTCAATGCGATCGTATGAATCAGTTCTATTAACCATACGACAGCGCTATGAATGCGCCAGGTTACTGAAAATCGCGAATTATCGGATACTATCGGTAATAAATTCCCCGATATCAAATTCACTCGAGTGTTTAAAAAATTGGCATTTTTAAAATCCATTCTTTTCGTGTCGTATAGTCGTGATGATCTAAAATATCTCGATAATACGACGTGTAAGAAATGAAACTTCAATTGTTCGTGATTCCAATAATATCTGCCTCACATGTCGCTATCGTATCTTCTTTTATAAATGAAAATGAATGTGTTTTCCTTTATTCCAAAATTATATTTAACTCTACATTAACGAATTTATTATTCCTTTTATTTCTCCCATCTGTTGCTAATACACAATGTGAGTAGTCGTATCACGAAGGATGACATTTCCCTCCCTTCATTCTGTTTCTTTATTATGTTTTGACCTCTAATTATTGTACACATATATTAAGTATTAAATATCACCGGACCATATCTTTGACGAAGATAATTTTATAATGTTCTGTATTCTATTGTAATGAAAATATAGACAAGCTTGTAAAGGTCACTATATACATGATAGTTCATTGAATGTGGGCTTATATTTTTGACTCTGTTTATCGAAAGTATAAATAATTATTAAGTTCTTTATAGTTATCCCTATACTGTCGCGGCAATTATCTTATGCTCCGTCAAACATTGTAGAACCCCTGGAACCGAGAGGCATCGCAGAACTTAACACTGTCTAATACGTCAATCGGAGTGAACGGAGTGAGCTGCGATATACAATAACCAACAGCAGATGAATTATGTATATTACGAAGCTTTGTCCACGATACTAATTAATCCATATATTTTCATGATCAATTTTTACGGTAAGTTTAAAAAAAATAAAACCTAACTATATCTTTGCGTAATAATTAGTACCAAATTATAATACAAAAAAATGCGTTATTTTATTCAAACGAAGTGATACATATTATAGTTGAAAGTTCTAGGGATTATAAGTTCAAATCTTGGCGGCGATGCGATACGTTTTTCAATAATTAATTGTAGTTAAGAAGACAAGAATATAGGTATGCGAAACAGTAAATAATAAATTGAACTGGGAAAACAAAAGTAAATAATAACAAAAAAATTATTTTTTTTTCGTTAAGATATAACCGTAATCTTTTTATTACATAAAAAAAGTTTTTATTTAAGAAAATTTTTTGTTACATATAAAAAATATATTTCTTTCATTTAAAAAAAGAGTTGCAAAACTACATAAATTATTTTTTTAATTCTAATAGCAAGAAATAACCAAAAAACTTCTTCAAATCAAAGAAATTGAGTCGATGTCAATAAGTAACAAATAAATAACAATTTCACCCATTTGTGATGTCACAGTGACAAATTTTGCATTGCGTAAATGTTATATTTGCATTTCATTGCATTCTCAATATATAATTGTTAGATGTCAACCCTGTCGCCGTTTCGTATTTAAATCATATCACTGTTATGTAACTACTATGGATAAAATACGACGACAAATTTGAGAACAGTCTCTGCAAATTCACGTAACTTTTGACATCACTGTTACGATTCAAAAAATTAAGATTATGTATGAGTTACGAGCTTGAGATGTATTTGTGTTTGCTGGGTATATGTATATTTGTATAATATTATAGAATTAACTTTAACATAATTTATATTTCTATGTACATAAAAATAGGAACATATTTTCATAAAAATGCGCTATTTTGTTATGCGTTTTAATCTGTGTTCACGAATCGACAATTTTCAATCAATTCTATTAATATCGGTTTAGACAACATAAATATTAAATAATAGATATTATATAGCAATATATTGCTATATATTTGTATCATATCACAAAAATTGTTTACATAAAAGGAATTTTTCATACATAAAATTTAACAATCAAATAATTAATAATAGATAATCCGTATTTAATATCTCAATAGAATTTAGGAGGAGATTATAAAAAAAGGATTCTTCATTATTTGTAAAACTCTTATCTTTTTATATATTAATGTTGATAATAATCCCACAGTTTTTAATGTTTCTGTAAAACACATTGCCTTCCAAATAATGCATTTATACAAGTGTATAACATTTGTCATAATACGAGGGTCGTTTGAAAAGTTTTGAGCTTCAACATGAAGATGGCATTACTCGTCAAAACCATTCTGGTACTATAATCGTACATGTTTTCCAAGATCTGTGAAAATTGTACGTTCAGTTGTTGTTTGAGAATCATTTATGCCAATCGATATCAGTGTTTTCGTTTGATGAAAATCTGTGTCCTCCGAGCCTAACTTTGAGCCTAGGAAACAAGAAAAAGTCATTGGGTATCAGATTTGGTGAATACAGTAGGTAGTTAATTAATTTGAACCATAATTCGTAAATTTTTGTTACGGCGATCGTCGATATTCCATTTTATTCGATTTTTTTCATTTTTACAAAAACATACGATTGTACAATAGTACCAAAATGGTTTTGACGAGTAATGCCATCTTCATGTTAAGGCTCAAAACTTTTCAAATGATCCTCATAAATGCACATCTTGTTTTCCAAAGCAGTGCAATAAATTATATCACATATAACAGTTGTCATATCACGTTGTACGCGTTATAACATAAAGTCCGATTTGGCGCTTATTTATTTTATACTAAAAATCCTCCTTAACCTAAAAATCTGACTAGAAGAATGATAAGAACTGTAGAGACACTCCAGGTAATATTCGACGACGTGTTAATATATCCCTCTAAACGGTGGTACACTCTTCTGTTGCCGAGCTTTTGAATTGGTCTGTAATTGAACTTCAGTGTACCATTACTGCCATCCACTTGTCTAAATACGTCCATCTGTAAATAGATTAAATAATATTAATATAGTAATATAATTATTATTGTTATTATTAATCCACAAAAATTCTAAGAAAATAATTAACTTATAATTTATTATACAAAAATAAAAGAATTAATAACCTTACAAAACTAAACGTTCTGTTTATTTTTACATTTAAGTTACCTGCGTTTCCGACACTTTAAGCTTCTCAGTCATAACAAACCACAATACATCTTCCTGGCATGTGGGTGTAGTTAAAGATCCTTCGTAATTGTAATACGTAGTATGATCCTTTGGTAGGAACAATAAAGGTATCAGTTTATTCCTTATGTGTATCATATTATGTCCCACCCAATTTGATACCAACTTCGTTGCATCTACAATGGGCGACAGATCTGGATTATCATTACTGCTCAACTATAACAAAATATTACGTTGTTATGTTGTCCATAATTTTTGTGTAGAAAAAATTTTCAATTTAAGAAAGCAATACTGAAATTAATAACACATTATCACCTCAAATAGAACGGCAACCACAGCAATCCCGTATTTATGTTGCAAGGCTACGCTAAAATTCGTATACTTTATATCGTAATGCACTAGATGCAACTCTAATGGATCACGTAAACCGTCCACAGTATGTTCTGCACTCCAATGAAAGTGCATTTGCTCCAGAACAAACATTGATGATAGACTTTTGCCACTGAGATGAAGTGGTACACCATGAAGTAGTATTTGCACTATGAAAAAATTTTAATCGTAAGATACTGAAATTACAAAAAAATATAATTTCTTTCGCGGAATAATACTTTACAGGCTCTTGTACCTGCTTCGATTCGATATGTTATATTAAAAAATTTTGATAAAATTTTGATTTCTTTGTTGTCCTCAGTTTCATAAGGTTGCCAAATGTTGTTCTGACAACATATCTTTTGAGACTTCAAAGTTACCTTCACTTTTTAAAATGAAATTTATGATTTTTTTACACAATATGATTCCTCTAATTATTTTGCATATAAAAGTATTAAAGTAGAGATATCGAAAAACCAATAGTTTACGAGATATTTTATACTTTATTCTAGCCGACACATATTAATATAAAATGTTAAATAACTCGTAAACTATTAATTTTTTTATAATCCTACTTTAATTTTATGAACAGAATAATGAGATGAAATGATATAAAAAAATACATAGTTGCATAAAAAAAATATGTGTGCAAAATGAATAATTTTTTAAATAAGCAACTATGTGTTCTTTACAGGAAACACTCTGTGTACTGAAGATGATGACTCAGAACATTTGGTTGAAACGTTTATAACTTATATGTAATAAAAATAAAAAGAACACACAAACATCCAATGTCAGATTCTTAGAGACACACTTACTCTCTATTAATTTATATTTATTAAAACTTATAATTACTAATCTGTTTTGATAAAAAATATATAAAAAAATATTGAATAGTAAAACGTATTAAATTCTATTTATTTACCGGAATGTCCAGTGTTAATCATCGTACTAGGAAAAGCGAAGTCATATCGGTGGAATTTAAGAGCACCGAGATCAACTCTTATAGCATCTTCCGTCACGATATTGATCGGCGATTGCTTCTTTCCTGTTATACATATTCCCGGCCAATTTTCTGGTCCTACGTAATCATTTACAAATTCCAGTAGACAGTAGTTTCAATTATTTTAAAGTACAACAAAATTCAATATTTATATTATATGTAAGCGAGGGACGGGATCGCTGAATTAGGAACAGATAAACGGATATTCGTGATACAAATAATAGGTTTAATCTTCGCTTCCGAGAGAGAATGCGCTCATGATACAAGAACAAGGGTATGCTCATCCCGCGGCATACTAGTGCACAGAAATTAGAGTAGTGGGCGAATAGAACCACTTTACGTCATCATCGACTACTTTTCATATTAATTCGTTCAAATTTACCGCTTATCGATGATGTATGTTGGTTCTATGTCACGTGATGGTCACGTGATATCTATATGCGCATAAGCATACCCTTGTTCTTGTATCATGAATGCGCTCACGGCGAGAGCTGAACTGAACCGAAACGCCCCGAGGCGAACCGAACCCTCTAGAAGCATGCATTGCTCAATCGGC